AACTCCGTACCATGTTTTCACTGCTACTTTGTACCAAGGCAGATTCTCAGAGCCGTGCACACGAGCCGTGCACATGCTGTGTTTTTTGTGTAGCTGTGTCTTTAGTTGTAAAATGATGCGCGCCACAGTTTCCGCGCTGCGAGGCTCCGGCGCTAACAGTTCACGAGCGTGCTCCACTAGCACCCGGATATAAGGCGCTGTTCTTAAAGAGAGTCCTCTCCTGTCAGACTGAGAGGCTGATAACTACAGCTCAGTGAGGTGAAGGACCCTCTGAGGGTTTAGTTCACTTTAGTCTCAGTAGTGGCTCTCAAACGGTTTGGTCATCATTTATGTAAACAAGTATTTCCAAGGCACTCTTTTATATGATCATTATAGTTATAAAAAACAAGAGAATAACAGGTATGAAATAATGCCCCCGGACCCCCCCTAGAGGAGGTGAGTTCCACCACCTGCCCACACCCCCTGTCAAATTGTCCCACCCACATTGAGGATGCTTCCTACGCCCATGTGCAGATCTGCATTTATTTTAAACCAGGCTCTTTTTAAATGGAGGTTCTGCGTGTGTTCTCTCTCTGAGGAACAGGAGTCTGAGCGGAAAACACTCGATACAGCTGCTGTAACTCTCCTGGTTTAATACTGCAGACACACACACACACACACACACACACACACACACACACACACACACACACACACACACACACACACACACACACACAGCGGCATCGATTGAACAGTGATTGCAGGCTCCATTTAATGTTCTTATAAATGGTACAAGTTCAATCTAATCTGAACCATGTAGCGCTGCTCTCTCTGCTGTCAGTGTGAACAACAGTAATCTCCTCTAATACCCTTTACTGCCACACCACACACACACACACACACACACACACACACACACACACACACACACACACACACACACACACACACAGGCTGTGGACGCCGTATATTTTCCTGATTTGTTTCTCCGACTTACTGACTTGTTAGCAGTTTGTTACTGCAGCCAGTTCCACTGCGGTTCTTAACCAACAAAGGAATGGTTCTACTGCAGTTCTTCACCTGCACATAGCTGGTTCTACTGGGTTCTTTAACTGCCAATAGCTGGTTCTACTGCCGATCTTTTCCTTAAAATAGCTGGTTATAATGCAGTTCTTTACCCATCAATAGCTGGTTCTACTGCAGTCCTTTTACCAGCACAAAGCTTGTTCTACTGCTGATCTTTACCTACACTCAGCTGGTTATACTGTGGTTCTTTAGATGGATCTACTGCGGTTCTTTACCCACCAATAGCTGGTTCTACTGCCGATCTTTACCTTAAAACTGCTGGTTATACTGTGGTTCTTTACCCACACATAGCTGGTTCTATTAGGTTCTTTAACTGCCAATAGCTGGTTCTACTGTAGTTATTTACTCACAAATAGCTGGTTCTACTGTGATTCTTTACCCACCAATAGTTGGTTCTACTTCAGTTATTTACTCACAAATAGCTGGTTCTACTGCCGATCTATCACTGAAAACAGCTGGTTCTACTGTGGTTCTTTACCCATCAATAGCTGGATCAGCTGCGGTTCTTTACCTCAACACAGCTGGTTCTACTGTGGTTCTTTACCCATCAATAGCTGGATCAGCTGCGGTTCTTTACCTCAGCACAGCTGGTTCTACTGTGGTTCTTTACCCATCAATAGCTGGATCTGCTGCGGTTCTTTACCTCAGCACAGCTGGTTCTACTGCAGTTCTTTTCCCACCAATTGCTGGTTCTACTACGGTTCTTTACCAGCTTATAGCTCGTTCTTCTTCAGGTCTTTACCCCAGAAAGCTGGTTCTCCTGCGGTTCTTTATCTGCACGCAGCCGGTTCTGGTTCTGTTCCCCGGTGTTTGAAGGTTCTCTTGTGGTTCTTCAGATGTCCTGTGTTTCTTTCCCTCGTGTCTCGCTGCGTTCCTCTGTTGCTGCTGTCGTCCAATGAAACGCCAGCGTCACCTGCTTTAATTGATTTGCTCCAATCAGGGATGACCAGAGGGAACACACACCAAAGGCATTTGTGTGTGTGCGTGTGTGTGTGTGCGTGTGTGTGTGTGTGTGTGTGTGTGTGTGTGTGTGTGTGTGTGTGTCTCTCTGTAGGGTTCAGGGTATATTAATATTTCTAATAGGGCTGTTATCAGCTTACTGCCAGCTGTACACAGTAAACACACACACACACAGTGAAGCTTGAAGGCAAATATAAACACACACACACACACACACACACACACACACACACACACACACACACACACACACACACACACACACACACACACACACCCACTCTCTGTCTGTCTGTTGTGTGATAACTCCCACAATGCCTTTCTGTGTTAGAAAGACCTGGAGGTCAAAACTACTTTTCTCTGCGTGTGTGTGTAAACAAAAATGCTGTAAACAACACACACAAACTCACACACACACACACACACACACACACACACACACACACACACACACACACACACACACACACACACACACACACAGCTCCAGGTAAACAGTGTTTAAAGGTGAACGAGTCAGTGTGTGTTTGAAGTTCTGGACTTTGTTTTGGCAGATAAATAATAGGAAACTCAGTGTGTCTGCGTGTATAGTGTGCATATGTTGTTTGTTCATGTATAGTGTGTGTGCGTGTGTGTGTGTGTGTGTGTGTGTGTGTGTGTGTGTGTGTGTGTCTGGGTTAATTAGTGTGTTAAAGGGTTTATCAGCGTGTCGGCATGCAGGAGATCCATCCAGCCTTTGAACATGCCATAGCTGTGTGTGTGTGTGTGTATGTGTGTGTGTGTGTGTGTGTGTGTGTATGTTTATTTGTGTGTATGTGTGTTTGTGTGTGTTTGTGTTTATTTGTGTGTGTGTCCAGTATAAAGCCACTATCAGCATCCTGCCAAACCCAATTAAAGCCCGTTTGGGGAGTTTGAACACAGAGCGACTGGGACTCAGATTCAGCCAATCAGAGGAGAGGTCACGCTGGCACACTGGCTCCCTATTGGCCGGTTTGTTGGATCTGAACACTTTGACATTTGAGTTTAAATCCTCCTGTTCCGTTTCTTCTTCCCCGCCGTCAGATGGAGATCAGCCTCATGTCTGTGCTCACTGATAGCTCTAGGTTAGCATCGGCTAGCTTAGCACGGAGACTAGAGGCAGGGGGAAACTGTTAGCCTAGCTTAGCACAAAGACTGGAAGCAGAGGGAAACTGTAGCTTAGCTTGAACACTGTAAGTAGGGGGAAACTGTAGCCTAGCTTAGCTCAAAGACTATAAGCAGAGGGAAACTGTAGCTTAGCTTGAACACTGTAAGTAGGGGGAAACTGTAGCCTAGCTTAGCACAAAGACTGGAAGCAGAGGGAAACTGTAGCTTAGCTTGAACACTGTAAGTAGGGGGAAACTGTAGCCTAGCTTAGCACACAGACTGGAAGCAGAGGGAAACTGTAGCTTAGCTTGAACACTGTAAGTAGGGGCAAACTGTAGCCTAGCTTAGCTTGAAGACTGGAAGTAGGGGGAAACTGTAGCTTAGCTTAGCACAAAGACTATAAGCAGAGGGAAACTGTAGCTTAGCTTGAAGACTGGAAGTAGGGGGAAACTGTGGCCTAGTTTAGCACAAATACTGGAAGTAAGGGGAAACTGTAGCCTAGCATAGCTTGAAGACTGGAAGTAGGGGGAAACTGTAGCCTAGGTTTGCACAAAGACTGGAAGCAGAGGGAAACTGTAGCCTAGCATAGCTTGAAGACTGGAAGTAGGGGGAAACTGTAGCCTAGCTTAGGACAAATACTGGAAGTAAGGGGAAACTGTAGCCTAGCTTAGCTTGAAGACTGGAAGTAGGGGGAAACTGTAGCCTAGCTTAGCACAAAGACTGGAAGAAGAGGGAAAATATAGCCTAGCTTAGCTTGAAGACTGGAAGTAGGGGGGAAACTGTAGCCTAGCTTAGCACAAAGACTGGAAGAAGAGGGAAACTGTAGCCTAGCTTAGCTTGAAGACTGGAAGTAGGGGGAAACTGTTAGCCTAGCTTAGCGGAAAAAACTGGAAGAAACAGAATATGTTTTGCCTAGCTTAGCAGAAAAACTTGAAGGGGAGGCCAAGACTTAGCCTAGCTTAGCACAATGACTGGAATCATAGGGAAACTATTAGCCTAGCTTAACAGAGAGACTTAAAGCAGAGGTTAAATGTTAGCCTAGCTTAGCACAAAGAGTAGCTACAGAGGGAAAAGGTTAGCCTAGTTCAGAAGCTTGCTGACTGCTTTTATGAAAACACTGTTATTCTTGAAGCACAGAGACTGAACTTGGTTAGCATCAGCTGCAGATCTAATATCATTTACAGAAGTAGTGGTGGTTCTTTCGATCTAACGAAATTCTACTAATAATATAATTGTAATAGTATGAGTTTAGTCTCGTGTTCATCTGATGCAAATACTAGCTTTAAACACAGTAAATAATCTATTCAATAAACTATAAAATACAATATATTTCTATAAAAATGTGGAACTACTCTGACTGTAACATGTTTGTTGGCTTGTGTCGACGAGCTTTCAGTCTGATCCTGAATCCCTGCAGGAAACACACACACACACACACACACACACTACACACACACACACACACACACACACACACACACACAGCAGCAGGAAGTGTGTGTGAGTGTGTTATTTGTGTAAATCTTCTCAATACGCTGCAGCTGCCTCTCCTCACGTTTCAATATAACTCTGGTAATAGAATTACCCCCCGCCATCTGTGTGTGTGTGTGTGTGTGTGTGTGTGTGTGTGTGTGTGTGTAAGCTGTGTGCGATGCGATTGGTTTTGGGATTGCAGGGGTGGCGTGTGATTGGCCGACAGGTGACGAGGTTAACGAGGCAGAGGAAGGCGAAGACACGATCGTGTGTTTGTTTGTCTCTCGGCTCGGAGGGATTATCGAATAACGAGATAATAATTCAACGATCGGCTCCTGCTACATATCACACTGCACAAACAGAAAAATACAATA